TGTATACTAAAGCATATGTGACAACCTCGCCGTGGGACTAAATGGTTATCGTTGAGCCACGACTATCGAATGCTTTTGATAAATGAAATTTAGTATTCGTTTGATTTTTGTGTGCGTCAGTGCATTATTAGTTCTTCCAACTTTTTATAACTTCGCCTTATAAATACTGTGCTATTTTTGCGTTTATTAAAACATTTAAAATACTAAAATAGTAGTTTTTTTTAATTGACGATTGTGTGCGTGTGCAGGTGTCAAAATTTTTCCGAAAATTTGTGTGATTTTCCGTAGCCCGATCTTTCAATTATTTTATTTTATATGGTATATGGCCTATTTTTTAATGGGAAATTTTGAGAAGTAGCAATTTTTAAGAGAGATGAGATGAACTTAGAATTAATTTTAAAAATACATATTTGTATTTTAGATGTTTTAATAATATGAATTGGTTGAACTTAATAATCATATTTAAGTAATGTGGTTAAGTAAATGGTTATCGAACTCAAACTATGGGGTGAGAAAATTAAATTGAAAGTTTTACACGTGCCAATTTAAAAAAAAGTTAACGATGTTTGTATTTTGTTTATGCTAATTCTCTTACATGTAGTTTTTTGCGAAGAAATATTTCATTTATTTTTTAAAGTAAATGCCAGTAAAAGTAAATATTATTTTTAAATAGTAATATAAAGTACCTAATATAAATAATTTTGATTTCTAAGTTTTTATTTATATTTTCCTTCCATTACACTGCATTTACATTAGAAAATTAATAAGTGTTTATATTTCATGATTTTCAAGTTTGTTGTTAATATAACAAATTAGTTCTGTAATTATTATTATTTAATAAACCAACGTTGCCAAAAAATTTAAAGACTATATTATTTTTAAATAGGATCTAATATAAATAATTTTGACATCTAATTTGTTGTTTATATTTTGCTACTACGTAAAAAAAATGTTTATATTAAATTATTTTAAATTTTGTTGTTAATAAGTATAACAAATTATTACTGTTATTATTATTTTTATTAAACCAGTCTTTGCTTAAAAACATTAAAATTCATTTTCCTACATCCAAAATAACAAGTATTTTTGCAGTGTAACAACAGAATATTAATAAAAAAATGCTAAATATATAGACATACCATCCCTAACTAACTAAAGCCAAACAATAATATTCTTTGCTAATATCAACTAATACCAATATATGACAACAGCGCCCTTCATAATGTATTTTCTGTGTAAATACTAGCACCCCAATAAAAAAAATAATGTGTCCTTATCTTTCTATGACTCCGCAAAAAATCAAAGATGCCGGCTTCTTTCATAGCATTGCCACCGACCGCTGTCGGGTTTCTCGGAAAGAAATCGCCGGGCGACAACTAAAATCCAGTTAATATTTTATTATAATCGATCCTGACGAATAAATGAATTTCATAAATGAATGAATTTTATAAATGAATGGTTTTTGCTGCCGAATTACTAGAATATATAATAATTTAAATATTTCAAGGCAGATGACGCATTTATTCGATAATTTTTATTCGAATAGTTTTCAACGAATGTTTTCTTACTAGCTATCGAATTATTCGAATGAATTGCAACTATCGAATATTTCGATAGTATTCATTCGATAGTTCCCACTACTAGTGTGAACCCAAAACAGCGGCTATTGAAACAGATTGGTAGCAGCTATTAGCAGCGGCTAGCAAATCAACCCAGTGTGACCGCCGCTTTAGTATACAGCATCCACGGGCAAAGGTGTTTTGCCAGTGTCTCTTTTCTCGCGTAAAATAGGTAATAAACTTTGCGAAGAGAACTTGTTCATTCTCGTGAAATCAACAATGCATTTTAGCAATAAAATTTCAAATTAAAAAGTCAGATTTTGACTGTGATCTAAAATCAGATAGTGATCCTAATCAATAAAATATCGAGATACAACTTTTAATCGGCATTAAACGGCCTACACAAATTTGCTAACAAGAAAAGACAAAGTCAGTGGCGCACATGTTTTTTTAGAAAAAAATATTCCAGGAATAACTCATATGCACGTCCCTGATAAATCTGTCAAAAATTTTTTAGCATTAAAATATGTAATAGTAACTTTTACTCACAAAATCTCATTCGAATCACTAAAAATACTTGGAAGGAAATTATATTAAATCAAAAATAAATGAAGACTTTAACTCCCTGTAGCAACGCACTTTAGTAATAAAAAAGGAATTTCAAATTAAAAAGTCAGATTTTGACAGTCAAACGCCAAATCAAACGACAATTACTAAAAACAATGTACAGTAATTTCCAAAATGCCGTAATGACGTCACCAATCTCTTTCATCTGGTTATCAAGTGAAAGAGAGAGTTCGACAATATATGACGTGATGTTGAATGATCGCTGAACAAATAATATATTAATATCTATCTGTTATATGCTTTAGCCATCAAAAAGCTATACCAATTAATTTTTTCCAATCTACATTTTAAGAGATATTTTTTTTTACCATACAATACGTTTTGTCCTTTAAAATCTTAAGAAACAACGGCAAGAGACAATACAAAGAGTTCCTTTGTTAATGATAATACATAATAAATCAAAGTTGTTACATAAAAGTTACAAAATCCTCGTCTATTATTTAAACAGTAATAATAGTCCTAACAAAACACTTAATTTGTTTTTTCTGTGATTAGATTTTTATTATGGTGACTTTTAAATAATTGTTTAATGCCAAATTTAATGGAATTATCCATGATTCCTACGATTAGGCGTGTTGAAACTATTGAAAATGGACAGAAACTATACCGGATATCCCATTATCCTAGAATTTGATTAGAAAATCGTTTGTTTGATTACGAAAAGTGAAAGAAAAAAAAGGACACCCTAACGACATCTAAAGAGCTTGCAACAATGCTTTTGCAACGGACAATTTTTGCTAATAATTCAACTATTTCGATACTCGTAATTTTTGTATAATATTAATTTAGGAAATAATTACCGTATTTGCAATTCTTTATGGTGAATTGGATGTAGAAATTTAAATATTGCTTGTTTTGCAATTTGTTTAAATTTGATAAAATTAATTTTAAAATTATATAAAAAACTGTGTTAAATAAATAAAATAGATTCATTTTCTGTAATGTTTTATATCTTATTACGAAATCACACTACTGTGTCACTCTTTTTTTATAATGTAGTTGCTACATAGTCAAACAAACATGTATAAAATAACCGCTAATATTATAAAACAATCAATAAGATTTTAACGAATAGCAATATTTCTAAATGTTTTGAGGTTACATTTCTTAATAGCCTTACATTTCCTTAAGTATTCTTTCTTTATGGTGTAAATTTAACCTTTTCAGAAAACTGCAGCAAAATAACAAGTTTTAAGAGTCGTACAAGAATTTGTTGAAATAATATACCTATACCAATGTCGAGTCTTTTATAATTTACGTACAATAGGCTTTGTATTTTTCTTCTTAATTTAAAAAACACATTTCTGATTAAAACTCCTTTGCCCTTTCTATGTGTGTTCAGCCTTAAGAAACAAGAAAAACTATAGCAAAGTATTATATAAGAATTGATTTGACCCAAAACGCCCACATTGTCGAATGTAGAACACTGATATGTCTCTTAAGCATTTCTGTTTTTTTTTGTTATTTACTGCCTATTTATTAATATGATACGTCCATTATTAGAAGAAAATCAGAAATTCAGATTATGATTGCATAACATTCGGAGACCCACTACTTTCTCAAATATTTTAAATATAATTAACGAATTTGGTACACATTTTAGTCATTATGCTATACAAAAAAAGGAGAACTTGCTACTTACTGATTATTTAAATTTTTATTAAAACATGTTAGGTACTATAATTATTTAATTTCGTATTTATTTCGGCTTATGATATTTATATAATTCTAGCATTATAATACTATGAATAATTAATAAAATTTAATGACATAATTCGTATTTTTCTATTTTAATACTGAATCTTTTAAAAAAATAATTATTTTTTAAAAATCTTTATACCATAATGGCAAAACAGACTGTGTTTTATTAATTTATGATTTTTAATTAGTTAATAACAGTATTTTTATCAAAATCAATCAGTTGACCAAAATATCTAATTTTGGTCAAATTTAGATATTTTGGTTAACTCAAAGGTCTTCCAAAAGGTGGAAGCCCTTTAGTCTAAAAGTACTTCCAAAAAACATTGGCAAGATCATAAAAATTTGAAAATTTTATGCACTTTTATAATACATAGACTTTTACAAGCTTAAATTTTCTGGACTTAAAAAAAACATGCCAAAAAATAATGTGGGGTTTATTGTTGATGTGAGTGTTGATGTCTCTCAATTTTACGGATTATTTTTAATGAAATAGCGTTTTAGTTGGTAAGTAAACTCTGTCCAGCAAAAGAATAAGTGAAAGACAGAAAAAAAAGCATTCTATTCATGAATTAAAAAGACAAATAAAAATACAGTTTTGCTGTACAGGCAATTCTGTAGTATAATATTTTGGTGATTGGTTTGGTATTTTATCAATGTAAAATGTTATATACAAAGTTTAGGATTAAATATTAATAAAAATATGCTCGAAACAATAGGTTTTGTTAGTTTGTTTGTTTAGGTATGTACTGGTATTATTTCAATGACACAAAGGCTGTTCGCTAACCAGTCGACTGCTTGGTTGAAAGTAAAAGTATATATTCACATGTTACAGCTTAACTTTCCATTATGTTTTAAAACGTAGTCGGCATACCTAAAACCGTTTTATTTTAATAAATAAACAGGTCGCGTGTTCGCTGAGCGCGATATGCTTCCTGAATTTCAAAATTTTCATGTTGTTTGTCATATTTTTCGTATTTTAGATGTGCAGAATCAAAAAAATTACAAAAAGAAGTAAAATTATCAAAATAAAATAGGGTCAATTTTGAGTTACTGTAATAATATCTGAAATAGTCTATGATTATGTTTATATAATAATCGCATTTGGTGACTTACCTTATAAATTCTCTTATAGAAGAACACTGAAGAAACAACAATCCTAATTCATTTAGCTGTACTCGGTACCAAAAAATAGGGGATTATAAAGTAAAATAAGACACTTTAACCGAATTAAATTGACTAAAACATAACCTTTATATCGAAAACACATTTACCGTTAAAAACTACAAAAAAAATTAACGAAATAATGTAGGAATGGATAGGAGGGTTTTTTCAAAATTTCAATGACCAAAAGCCGTTTTTGACGTAAGTGTCACTTTACAAGAATATTTTTTTCTCTCAGTGTACGTTACGCGAATTCGCGGTACCCGTTTGCACGGTACGGCGCACGGCTGATCTGTCAAAGTTTTTTGGCCAGACTAATAGACTATCCCTGCCGGTCGTCAGAATCGAGAGTCTACTCGCGACTGGTTACCCCCGTTTACGTATCTCGGTACCAACTGAATAGAGATGGCAAAATTTAAAAATATGTATATCGATATACCGTATTAATGATTCCGTCTATAGGTAGGAACGAAAATATTATTATATGCGTGCACGTCTATTAATTTAAAAGTAACATTATTTAAGAGAAATGTCTCAGTTAAAAATGAAGACGAGACAGATTTTACTCAAGCTAAATTTTTGAACTGCACAAAATAACGAATTCTGTTTACACTTATACGCTTTATTAGTACAGTTTGGCTTGCACCAGCCAATTTACGCAAATTATCTGAGAGTATAAAGGGGCGTTTAGACTAGGTTGTCTCGTCTTGATTTTTAACTGAGCGTTACGACGGTTTTAGAAATTTTGACATTGTTGGTTAAGATTCAACCTTATAATAAAAAGATTAAGGAAGGAGGATCAAAAATCTTCTATGCAAATCAACCGCGACGGGACTCTAATATGTCTTATCAGATCAGTGCCGTTCTAATTTTATTCGAAACGTGTAAAAATATGATGTAGGGTAGACTCAATAATTTGTTGTTCTATTTTACGTTGTCAATAAATATTGGTAGTTATTAAAATTATTATAAACATATACAATTCTAATAAAAATAGATAAGTTATAATAATAACACAAACGCATCCGATGCGCTACCGAAGCAGGTACGTCAAATTGACGTATCTAAATTCTTTGACATCTAATCTTTGACAAGTGGTAATAAAAGCAAAAATGCAAGAAAAATATATAATTAGTTAATTTTAAGTGAATTTCATGATCGAATGATCATGAAAATTTCAATCGAATGATCGGTTTACTACACAACTTACAAACCAAAAAAGATATGAAAAAAATAAAAAATACCGTTTCTATAATATCGAGGGGGAATACATATGACGTATTTTTTGAACCACCCCGACCTACCCCTAAGGCGGCACCACTACTCACTTGAAAATCTTAAATGGCAATACCCCACTTGTGGGGCCTTTTTGGAAAGCCCATGAAAGATGCTAAACGATGATCATAAAGTTTTTAGGGTGAAATTGAAAAACTACCCCTTACACGAAAAATTAGGTGGACATTAATGAGAAAAGTGATTTTTTTCAACATAAGTTACAAATTGGGACCCAGCTAAACGAGTTTTTTTTAAACTACCCCGACCCACCCCCTCACTTCTAACCTCAAGATAGCGATACCCCACTTGTGACACCTCTTTGGAAAGCGTATAAAAAATGCTGTACGACTGTCATAAAAAAGAACGAAAAAAATTGAGCCTAAAAATAAAACAAAAATATCAAAACGTGTCAAAATCAATAGAATGAATTATTTTTGTATCCATGAATCATTGGGAGAAAAAAACCGGTACAAAGAAATTTATTATAACTCTTAATGAAGACCTCATACACTTTCAGCAAGATGGAGCCCCTTCGCATTATTCTATTGTCACAAGGCGGTGGTTGGATAAATATTATCCAAGGCAATGGATTGGCAGAAGGGGTCTAATCGAGTGGCCGCCAAGGTCACCTGATCTCACTCCTTTAGAATTTTCCTTGTGGTGTTACACTAAATCCATAGTCTACAAGACAAAACCAGGTTCGTTGCAAGAATTGCGGCAGAGGAGAACTGAAGCATGTTGAAATATTCCGAGAGAGACTTCCAAAAAGTGAGAGAAGAATTTGAAAATCGTTTGTATCTTTGCATGGAACAAAACGGCTGTCATTTTGAGCAATTATTAAAATAAATTATCATTTTAAATTTCTTTCAAATTGTCACACCTACATTTCTTGTCACTAACCACTAATTAAGTTGAAGTGTGTATGACCATCGTTTAGCAATTTCAATTAGCTTTCCAAAGAAGTATCACAAGTGGGGTATCGCTATCTTGAGATTAGAAGTCAGGGGGTGCTACCTAGGGGTGGGTTGGGGTGGTTTGAAAAATACTTCATTTGCGTCATTTAGCTGGGTCCCAATTTGTAACTTGAAAAAATCACCTTTTTCATTAATGTCCCCCTAATTGTTCGTGTAAGGGTAGTTTTTTAATTTCACCCTAAAAACTTTATGATCGTCATTTAGCATTTTTCATGAGCTTTCCAAAAAGACGCCACAAGTAGGGTGTTGCCATTTAAGATTTTCAAGTGAGTAGGGGTGCCTCCTAAGGGGTAGGTCGGGGTGGTTCAAAAAATACGTCATATATATTCCCCCTCGATATTATAGAAACGGTATTTTTTATTTTTTTGATATCTTTTTTGGTTTAAAAATTATAGCCATTGTAAGTTTTCAGTGGCCCACCCTGCATAGTCACTTACTAGCGAAAATTTATTCTATTATTTCCCTCGATTTTTGACCGAGATCTACTTAACTGCACGCTACACAACCAAAATTTTACAGCTTTTTTCGATAAATCGCAATAGTTTCACTGTTACCTTTAAGTTCTTCCACAAAATTTCCTTCTAGATTTACTACCTTTACACAACTATCAGTAGTAGAATAAATATTAAATAACATAAAATACGCTCAGTAAAGACCGACAAATCCATAAAATTTAAAATCAAATCCAAATGTGTCAAATGAATTGTCAAACAGAACTGTCCAGGATCCCCACCCTAGAGTCCTCTTTCCGTCGACCATGTATAAATACATGAATAGCATTATACTCAATGACTAAAAAATACAAGGACGAATAATTATCACCAATTATACCACCAAACAGTGGCGTGGCACATATTTCTCTTAAGATTATGGATTTAACATTAAAGTTTGTTTGTCGAATATGTTTCTTAGGTTATTTAAATAAAAACCGCCAGACGCAAATGGCACAAACTAACTAAATGTGTAAAAGAAAAAATAGATTTGCGTAAATTATCTGAGAGTCTAAAGTGCCCTTAAACGCCTTTTTGTGTTTGTTAAATAAGTACAATTTCTCTAAAATTGTTAATAGATATAATGCAATTGGTTTCTGTTTTTAGTACTAGCATATTTATTGTAACTTACTGTGTAGAAAATTAAAATTGCTGTGAACTTATAAACACACAATTAATGCAGAATGTGGGTAACGTAGAAAGTGGCATTGCGAAACATCAATGACAACTCAATATATTTCAGGAGAAAAAGTAAAGAATTTTAAGTTAACGTCTTCTTTTTGCTGCTAAGGCTAATCTGGATTGGGCCTACTTTGTTTACGCTGTATCCGAACCGCGGTCCTCGGCTATATCATTGTCAATCTCATCCGGCCTCAAACCGACGTGAATGCGCATTGTGTGCCAATAGATTTTACACTCTTGCATGAAACAACAGCGCGACAGAGTTTCCAGACGGTCACCCGTCCATCTACTCTCATCGTTTAACGTCGCTTAACTTCGATTATTTATCGGGAACCGGTGTTTTGGCGTAGCTGGACCGTTGCCCCATTTCAGAAAAATGAATCATGCTACACAAAGAGATTTTTTAGCTTCCCGGAAAATGTTAAGAATAATGTAATTTTCAACCATATACCACAAACCTAGTCTTAAAATCATTTCAATTATTAAAGAGACGCCTTGTATATGACAGTAACGGTTACTCTCTGCCATTTCGACTGCTAGAAGTCGATTAAATTTTCTGTAATTTATTGGATGTCGCCTGACAAAACCTTCCCTACTCTCGCTGAACAAACAAAATATCGATATATTTAATAAAATGTATCGAAATATTTAATATATCGATATATCGTTGCCATACCTACAAGCGAGTACAAGGCGAACAGGCTGATCCTGTGATACGTTGGTACAACCACAGTACCTCTCGCAAAGCGTACCGTAGAGAGGGAAAGTTACGAAGCAGCCAAAATGGGGAGCTAGAGCTTAAAGTGGAACATGGGAGTAATATTACTTAAAAGGAACATGATCTTCTTTAGTGAAAGACAAAGTTTTTTTGGAAAACTCATATGTACAATGAATTTCCTGAAAATATGTTCCATCGACCATCGACATCTGAAGACTTATGCAGGACTATTCCGGAAATCCATGTATTTTAACCAGATGTGTTAAATTTATTATTTTTTAAGTTAAACAAGTGGTTTTTAACCAAAAGGGTTAAATTTATTATATTTTTATTTATTTCTGTTGAACAAGGTCGTTAACAAGTTGAACAAGCATCAAGGTTTTTGGTACAAGAAGTATTCTTGATTACCTACATATCTATGTGAAAGCATAGATAGTTTCTAGTACCCCTAGGTAATTTAACTATTTTCTTGTCGTTATGAAATTAATTGTGTAAATTAATCTTTAACATTTTATGAAGATTGTGGATTGTAGATTGTATTGGAGAGAGAAATTAATCATCGCGACCTATTGTCTATTTCTATTATTCTATTTATTACACAAATATACACGGTTTTGGACCTGGGCAACTAAACGCAATTTCTAAGATAATTTTTGGAGCTGAATCCAAATCAGCAGTCCATTTTTTAAGATTGGTTCTAGTTTTAGAAATATTCAATAAATTCATTACTTTACTATTTTTGACCGTTAACGGTCATTTATTGAATTAAACAATATAAATCAGAAATGAACAGAGGTTGAACTGAGTCTTTTATACTGCTTGGGATCTGTTTCACGGATTAGGGTCCAACAGTAATCGCTCATCATGCCTTCGTTCCAAAATCCTTGGTATCGCCTGTCGCTCGTGTCGCCCGAGTTTTGTGGAAAAAAATCAAGATGTGAATGCAGAAAATGTATCTTGAGAGACATTCGAGCTCCAATCTTGTGGTAATTTTGCAACAAATTGTCGATTACTTGCTTGTAATCAGGTGATTTATGATTACCGAGAAAGTTTTGAACAACACTTTGAAACGATGCCCATGCTGCTGCCCCATCAAGCGTTAAACATTTTGTAAATGTTGCGTCAGCCATTAGTTTTCGAATATCAGGTCCGACAAATATTCCTTCTTTGATTTTTGCGTATGACAAAGTTATAAGAGTGCACTGCCGTCGGCAGTTAAAAGGCGGCAA